TCCCTAGTGCTGGCCACTGTCGGTAGACAGGATACTGGGCTAGATGGACCTTTGGTCTGACCCAGTACGGCTGTTCTTATGTTCTTATTTAAGTGATAATACGTGAGAACTGGCAGAGCTAAGTAGATTACAGATTTAAAATAACAGAAAATGCTGTGATACTTCTACACTGAAACGTCAGTACAAACTTACTGCAAACCCTAAAACTGTTCTTTTTCCAGAAAGGCTTCAAACCAGGGCTGCTCCTTACCCTGAGGTTTTTGATTCCCTCCTTCAGGTATGTCCAGCCAGCCAACGGCTATGTCTCGATTGCATCCCTCTCTCAAAAGAAGAATGCAAATGAAGCAGATCAAAAATTCAAATAAAGCATGGATTTGCATAGCTTGCATTTTACTTGCATAATCACATGAGCGCACTTTTTTAAAATGGTGTTTTTGAAAAAAAAAAACCACAGTTTATATGGGGTTCTTTAAAAAAAACCCACCCCTTTTTAGAAAGAACCCGTACCCCTCATTTTTTCAGGAAAAAAACTTTTTTGAAAAAGCACTCTCACACGATTATGCAAATGAAGTGCGAGATTTACAAATCCATGCTTCATTGAATTTTCAAGCTGCTTCATTTCCATTCCTCTTTTGAGAGAGGAATACAGTCTAGATGAGCCCAAAGACAAAGCCCTTCTAGTTTCCCATTGTTTTACAGAGCCTCACTTTTGCCAGTCCCTACCAGTTAGGGAGCTCATAGGTCATGTGACTTCTCAGGGCAAAACACAGCTAAGAGGTAAAGTTGTTTACAGTTGACCAGTCCTTGAGGGAAGCTCTCTCAATGGCTCGCCTTTGCACATTGTAAAGCATAACCCATTCCACGCTCCACATGTCTAATTTTATACACAAGAATGATACAATAGAAACAGGGCACACGTTGACCAAGGAAGAAGACACAATTGTTCAATTAACGATAAGTAGCAGCTGCCCTTCCTGCTTTTAAAAACAATAGAAACAACAAATCCCCCTGAAGACTAACACATTTATTTGGACATGAATTTTCATTGGCTGGGGCCCATTCATCAGAGACTTGAGATTAGACGAAGGTTTCTAACCATTAGAGGAGTGAAGTTCTGGAACGGCCTTCCAAGGGAAGTAGTGGGAGCAAAAGATCTATCTGGTTTCAAGATTAAACTAGATGGGTTTCTGAAGGGGATGGTTTGATGAGATAACAGGATCTTGGTATCTAATTGACCATTCATTATCAGTGGGAAATAGGTCAATGGAGGGATGATAGGAGTTACTATAGAAAACTTTCTGGGTGTCTGGCTGATGAGTCTTGCCCACATGCTCAGGGTTTAGCTGATCGCCATATTTGGGGTCGGGAAGGAATTTTCCTCCAGGGTAGATTGGCAGAGGCCCTGGAGGTTTTTTGCCTTCCTCTGTAGCATGGGGTACAGATCACAGCTAGAGGATCTCTGCATCTTGGGGTCTTCAAAGTATTTGAAGGCTTCAATATCTGAGATATAGGCGAGAGGATTATTCTAGGTGGGGTGGGTGAGATTTTGTGGCCTGCACTGTGCAGGGGGTCAGACTAGATGATCATAATGGTCCCTTCTGACCTTGGAGCCTATGAGCCTATGAGCCTATGAGATGCATGTTTGGGCTGAAACAGACTAACGCGGCCCCCTCTAAAAATAATCGACTATTTCAATTATCAGTTACGACATGTGACAAATCACTGTGCCTATTCAAGGGTAAAACCACTATGTATTCTGCAAACCCAAACCCTAAATAATATCGACTCGACTAAGGGTACAACGAGGTGTCAATTCTGTCCTCTTTGCTCCCAC